TCAAAAAAAAAAAAAAAAAAGAAAAAAGAAAAAAAAAAGAAATGAATTCTTATTTACTCAGTCACTAAACAATTATTTTGGTATGTATTTATGCTCTGGCCATTATGCCATCACTGGAAATACAGTAGGAAACAGGAAAAATACGATTCTTCATTCACCTAGTTTACTGTCAATTGGCGAAATCAAGGGTGGGCACTGCTTGCTACAACCAGTCATGTCTACAGAATGATGACCGTGTGCCTGTGAGGAAGAATGTGCCTGAGACAGATAAGCTCCTTCTTTGTTGTTGTTAAAGTAATAAGGCTTTTCCTGTTACTTTGCAAAACAAATGGAGATCTAATTCAGAACGCCTCAGTGGGGTTCTGAATTCCCTGAAATCAGATGGTTGCTAGTCACTCCCAGGATGCTGGAATGGTGTTAAAATATTGCCTCTTGGGCAAGTGTGCTGGCTCATGGTGTAATACCAGCACTTTGGGAGGCCAAGGTGGGTGGATCACTTGAGGTCAGGAGTTCAAGACGAGCCTGGGCAATATGGTGAAACCCTGTCTCTACTAGAAATACAAAAATTAGCAGGAGTGGTGGTGTGGGCCTGTAATCCCAGGGGGAGGCTAAGGTAGGAGAATCTCTTGAACCCAGGAGGCGGAGGCTGCTGTGAGCTGAGATTGTGCCACTGCACTCCAGCCTGGGTGATAGAGTGAGACTCTATCTCAAAAATCAATCAATCAATACATTTTTTAAAAATGCCTCTTGAATCAAACATTCCAGATGGGATCCATGAGGATTCGTACTAGTTATTATCCATTTCTAGGCCTGTTACCAACATAACTTAGGACTGTATAGGTGAAAAGGAATGAGGTCCTAAGGAAGTACATACTTCCCTTTCATCTTCACAAAAATTCTGCAAAGAGAATGACATTATCTTTTCTTCTTAGATGAGAAAATAGGCTCAGAGAGTGAAGGAATTTGATTAAAGTCATGTTGCTAGAAAGTAGTGAAATGCATTAAAACCCAAGTTTATCTGGCTCCAAATGATTTCATTCTTTTCACTGCACCATACTTCTACCAGTAAGAGAAAGCTTTGAAGCTGTGTTTACTGAAGTCTGTCCTGTGGAACACTAATAAGGCAAGATGTCACACATGTGTAAACAGATGCCATGGCAAGTGACTCTGGGAAATGCCAAGCATGTTAAAGTCAGCGAACTCTTACATAAAATAAATTTGTATTTTTATTTAATCAGCTTTTCCCCCAAACTTATTTGATTACTAAATCTAGATTTTTCTTCATTTAACACGTATTAACATCTCTTGAAACCAATGCCAAATTAAAATTATCTGGCATTTGCTTAAATGACTGAAAGAAAGAGGAAAAGGGGTTGAATGAGAGCTTTAAATTGGAAATTCAGTTTGCAAAGCAACTAAAATAAAAAACTAGCAGGTATGGGGGAAGCATTTAAAAAAGATACAGTCTGTGCTCTCAGTGGAGCTGGGAGATGGAGATAGTGGGTGGATGGAGAGTGTCACAGGCAAAAAGGGAAACAGACACGAAATAGTTCAGACGGCATATTTTCACACAGGTTTTCGCTGATTCATGTGCGCTGAAGCTGAAGGAAAGATTGGGAAGAGAAAAGAGGCTTGAGCTGGCCCCGTGGGGTGTTAAGATTTACTCAGGGAGAGAAGAGGCTGAGAGACACTGAAAGAGAAAACATGTTTGCAGAGTTCAAACAAACAAACAAAAAACAATTCTCAGGAACTATATAGGGAAATTAAATAGGACAGGTAGTTGGTCTAGATTATAGACAATTACACAGGCCAGACCAGGGGCTCATGCTTGTAATTCCAGCACTTTGGGAGGCTGAGGCCAGCAGGTCACTTGAGCCCAGGAGTTTGAGACCAGCCTGGGTAACATGATGAAACCCTGTCTCTAAAAAAAGAAAAAATGCAAAAATTAGCTAGGTGTTGTGGTATGCAACTATAGTCCCAGCTACTTGGGAGGCTGAGGTAGGAGGATTGCTTGAGCTCGGGAGTTGAAGGCTGCAGTGAGCTGAGATTGCACCACTGAACTCCAGCCTGGGCAACAGAGCGAGAGCCTGTCTCAAAATAAATAAATAAATAATAAAAATAAGTCATACAGAAACTATTCTGTTGATAATGATGGAAAGAAGGATTAAAATCTGAAAGACCATGTAGACAATTAATCCGGATAACATGTACAATTGAGATACACTTTTGAATTTCACAACTGGAAGGGCTCTTAGAGCAAAGTTAATAAATGTCTGTCTAATCAATCAATCCCTTGCTCCACACAGCTGATAACTGAAGCCCACAGAGGCCACTTGATTTTCCTAATGTCACACGGCTCACTAACAGCACATCTGAGTTGATAATTCATGTCTTCTGACCTCCAAGAGGTACAGTCCTCGGGAACAGAGCATAAAATAGTGCCAAAGGAAGTGCAGAATGTGGAGCAAGGTAAGGACATAAATCAGCATATCGACAGAGGATGGTTTCTGTTTGAAGAGGTCTCTTTAAAATAATTAAGACAATGAACCCTAAACCTCCCACTGCAAAAGCAGTACTCTTTTAACTGTTTCTATCACAACTTGGTCCAATATTCTGTGCAAACAAACATGATATGTATGCGGGTTGCTGTTACGAAAGAAAAATTATAGAAAAAAGAAAATTATGTTTCCAAAAGGCAGCATTATCTCCGAAAGCATATGCACGAGGCATGATATCCATGGCTGCAGTCCCAGCTGCTCGGGAAGCTGAGGTGGGAGGATAGCTTGAGCCTAGAAGTTGGAGGCAGCAGTGGCACTGATGAGGCCACAGTGCCTGCGAAGAGCCATGCAGCCCAGTGTGAACAACACAGCAAGACACGGTCTCTACAAAAATAAACATAGGCTGGGCATGGTGGCTCATGTCTGCAATCCCAGCACTTTGGGAGGCTGAGGCAGGAGGATCCCTTGAGCCTAGGAGTAGAGACCAGCCTGGGTAACACAATAAGACCATCTCTTAAAAAAAAATTAATGGGGCGTAGTGAGGCATGGTGGTGCATGCCGATAGTGCCAGCTACTTGGGAGGCTTAGGTGGGAGGATCATTTGAGCCCACGAGTTTGAGACTTCTGTGAGCCTTGATCACACCACTGCACTCAGCCTGGGTGACAGAGCAAGACCACTGTCTCAAAAATAAAATAAAGTAAAAATAAATAAATTCAAAAGCACATAGGAAAGGTAACAGAAAAATAGAAACTTTCCTGATAGAAAAGCATCTTGTTAGAATCCCCACTCTACCTCCTGCTATAATCCTTTTATTTACTACTTAGTATTAAGGACACCTTCCATAACTGTTTGAAACATGTTTGGTGCTGGGATTCGCTTCAAAAAAGATACCAACAAGAAATAAGAAATTCCACAATGAAAACCTGGGGTGACCAAAAAGGTAACACTGATTTGGAGTAAAAAAAAAATTTTTTTTTTGAAATGGAGTCTCGCTTTGTCACCAGGCTGGAGTGCAGTGGAGCGATCTCGGCTCACTGCAACCTCCGCCTCCCGGGTTTAAGCGATTCTCCTGCCTCAGCCTCCCGAGTAGCTGGGATTATAAGTGCCTGCCACCACGCCCAGCTAATTTTTACATTTTTAGTAGAGACAGGGTTTCACCATGTTGGCCAGGATGGTCTCGAACTCTTGACCTCCAGGTGGTCTCGAACTGATTCGCCCACCTCAGCCTCCCAAAGTGCTGGGATTACAGGCGTGAGTCACCGCGCTCGGCCTAAAATTTGGACTCAACGAAAGACCAGGCTAGGCTGCGCGAGCATTTTTGGCCACGAAAGCACAGGAGGGTGCCAGAAAAAACATAGGACGGTGGAAAAAGCGTTTCCCCAGAAGTCTAGGAGTCCGCCTTTGGCATGAAAACTGGGAGCACAGAACAGGAAATACAGAAGGCAAGCTGCCAATTATGGGAGAAAGATTGTCACTCGGCCCCCAGCTGGCAGGGCCACAAGAAAACGTGACAAGTGAGTCCACCTGCAATCGCAGCAGGCGGCTGGTTACAGCCCGGCGCGACCTCCGGCGAAGACTACCACTCCCGACTGCGCACCGGGCGCGCCTCCGGGGCCGCCAGAGCGACTTCACGCGCAAGGCACTGTGGGACTCGTAGTCTTTGTGCCCACCAGCTCCTCGGAGGCGGAGAGACCCGATTTTTGGTAAATGATCCGCCCTTCCCGACCCTGCTTCCCTATCCTTCCTTTCCCTCCCACCTCCTTCTTTCACCGAGAGTTTGAAAATTCCCGCGGAGCCGGCGCTGGAGCGCGGAACCATCGCGATAACTCTGGTCCCCGCAGCCGCGATCTCCTCTGCTTCTCCCCTCCCTCTCCGCCCTCTTCCTCCGCTCCCTCCCCTCCGGGGCGTGTGGGACTCGGTCCGTCGGCCCAGGGCAAAGCGCAGCGCGGGTCGGCGCTGTCCGAGGCGAGCGAGCGGAGTTGCCGGAGGAAGGACCCAGAGCTGCGGCGGGGCAGCGACCGCGTGGTGGCGGCTGAGCGGTCGGCAGGCCTGCAGCTGGCGGAGGCGGTCTCGGGGGCGTGTGGCTCTGAGGGGCCGGGAGGGCGCGGGCGGGGCCGGCGCGCGGAGCAGCGGCCTCAGCCGGGCGGCGGTGTGGGAGCCCGGCCCGTGGCGGCCGAGTCTCCCGGGAGATGCTGTGACGACCCGCGCGGGAGGAGCTCGCGCCCGGCCTGGCGACCCGGCGACTCGGCCCGCGGCGGCGCGGTCACCGCCCTTCCCAGGTAGGGGGAGGGGAGGGGGTCGGGCCCGCGCGGCGGGGGGCGAGTGGCGCGGCGGCGGCGGCGGCGGCGGGGCTTCTGCTCGGCGGGCGCGGGGCCTAGGCCGGGCGTGCGCGGGGCCAACGGCTGGAGTCCGGGGCGCGGGCGCGGGCGGCGGCGGCGGGTACGCAGGCTCGCGCGCGCCGGGCTTGGTTATGTAAGCCGCGGACCCGAGGCGCGGCGGCACATGGCGGCGGAGCGGCGCGGCCGAGGTCGCCTCCGGCGCCGGCAGCCGGGTCCTTTCCCGACGCGGGCCGGCCGGGGCCGCGACCCTGCTCCGTGGTTCTCCCACGCGGTGGACTGGTCGGCGGGCCTCACCCCGAGGGAGGCGGGCGCGCCGCGCCTGTGCGCGGTTGCTGTGTGTTCCGCATGCGCCTGGGCCTGGCCGCAGTGAGTAGTGCGGGCGGGGAAGGAGTTGTGCTTGGGGCTCAAACCTGAGGCTCAGTTCGGCCGGTTGGTCACATACAGGAGATTTAAAATGAAAGGACACATGTTGGGGTTCTTATTAATTTGCCTGCCTTGTCCGCACATGGGAAGCTGAGGACGATTACTTTTCACCACTGGTCGACTGTTTTGGTTTGGGTTTTTTGAGAGACGGTACATTTTGTTCCTGAAGCTTACGAGGTTCACACTATCTGTGTGCATAGTGTTATGAGATGAGCGTTGTTTTTATTTTCAAATCGTCAGTTGTAGAAATTTTTGGAAGAACTGGGTTGTTCATAGAACAAAACATAGAGCTTTTGGAAATCTTAAACGTCATTTTATTCTCAGAATAAAGAGCCTGTAGATTTTAAGAGCTATCTTGAGGGCCAGGCACGGTGGCTCACGCCTGTAATCCCAGCACTTTGGAAGGCCGAGGCGTGTGGATCACGAGGTCAGGAGTTCGAGACCAGCCTGGCCAAGATGGTGAAACCCCGTCTCTACTAAAAATACAAAAATTAGCCAGGCACGGTGGCAGGCGCCTGTAATCCCAGCTATTCTGGAGGCTGAGGCAGGAGAATCGCTTGAACCCAGAAAGCAGAGGTTGCAGTGAGCCGAGATCGCGCCACTGCACTCCAGCCTGGGCGACGGAGCAAAACTCCGTCTCAAAACACACACACACACAACTTTGGTTCGCTGCGGTGGCTCATGCTTGTAATCCAGCACTTTGGGAGGCTGAGGTGGGAGGATCGATTGAGCCCAGGAGTTGGAGACCAGCCTGAGCAACATGGCGAGACGCCCATGTTTTTTTTTTTTTTTTTTTTTTTAAAGAACTGTGTTTGGTGAGCTTTCACTGAAAAGAGTCTCTGAGAAGGAAGAAATTAGAGTAGTTTACTTATTTTGGATGATTTGGCCAGGGATGACAAGCCCAGTTAAAGTTAATACATTAAGGGATGCCTTAAGTGTGCAAAGCGCTGTGGGAAGTCTACATTGTTTCTGTACTGTGATTCCTGAGCTTTCAGTAACGTAATGCCAAACTGTTAAAAGTTAGCAAACAATAATTATCTTAAAAAAAAAAATTCGAAACAATATGTCCGTTGGTGGCACCTCTAGTCGCGGCTACTTGGAAGGTGGAAGCGGGAGGAACGTTTGAGTCTCAGCCTCAACTTGGGAGTTCGATGGTTCGGTTCGACGGTTACAGTGAGCTAGGATCGTGGCACTGAACTCCGGCCTGGGTGACAGAGGGAGACTGAGATTTTTGCTCAAAAAAAAAAGAAAGAAAGAAAGAAAAAAGAATTGCCCCACCCCCAGGACGAGGGAGCCGGGGTATTTATGTAAAAGCCAGAGCACCATTGG